GTGCCCTTTCGGGCAAGCTGCCCGAGGGTGATGCCAGAAATTCCAAGCGCCTGTCGGACGTCAGCGCGGCCGAGCTCGACGCGCATCTGTTCAGGGCCAAGCCGAGGCACCCTGCGTGGAAGGCCGGGCGCCCCTGGGCATGGGCTTTCATGCTGCGGGAAGAGGAGGCTCCTTACTTCATTCGTGCCCTGCGGGCGCGCTACAGCATCAAGTGCGAGGGCCTCTTCACCACAGCTCAGCGCACTCTTGACGGACCACTTCTTAAGTAGCTTCTGGAGTTCAAGCGTGCGCCAGTGATGATGCAGATGAGGAGGCCGAACCGAGACGTCGTAAAATTGCCAAGCACTGAGCAGTCTGGCGCCAGCCCCCCTCGGGGGCAGCGGGGCTCCGAGCCCGGGCCCGCTCGTGGGCCGCCAGTTCTGCATGCAGTTGCCAGTTCTTCCACACGTTTTGCTGCTATCCTGGCGGGGGCTCCGCCTACCCGGCCCCTGGGCCTCATGATCCTCAGGATGGCTGTTGTGGGAAATTGTTGTTTGGCACTGTGGTGGTATCGAGATTCGCCCCACGGGTGCTCGCGAGTCTCGCACGAGGAGCAGAAACAGGAGAAGGCTTTGATAACCATGAGGAAGGAGGTGTCGGTGCACGTCGAGAAGGCGGAGTGCGACGCCCAGGCGCGGTTGTTGAAGCAGCGCAACTATGGGACCACGATCCTCGCGAGGGATGTGCCGAAATGGCCCAGGGCCGCCATGGGAACTCTGCCATTGGGGGCCTTCGGTGGAGCTCCCTATGGGGCCACGATCCTCGTGGGGGGTGTGCCGAAATGGCCCGTGGCCGCCGTGCGAACACTGCCACTGGGGACCTTCGGCGGAGCTCCCTATGGGGCCACGATCCTCGTGAGGGGTGTGCCGAAATGGCCCGTGGCCGCCGTGCGAACCCTGCCGCTGGCGCCTTCGGTGGAGCGGCCCGAGGTCGCCATGAGCACTTTGCTATTGGCGCCTTCGGCGGAGATCCTATGTGGCCACGATCCTCGTGAGGGGTGTGCCGAAATGGCCCGAGGACGCCATGCGCATTTTGCCTTTGGCGCCTCCGGTGGAGCTCCTATGGGGCCACGATCCTCGTGAGGGGTGTGCCGAAATGGCCCGAGGCCGCCATGCGCACTTTGCTGCTGACGCTTTCGGTGGAGCTCCTATGGGGCCACGATCCTCGTGAGGGGTGTGCCGACATGGCCCGAGGCCGCCATGCGCTCTTTGCTGCTGACGCTTTCTGTGGAGCTCCTATGGGGCCACGGTCCTCGTGAGGGGTGTGCCGACATGGCCCGAGGCCGCCATGCGCTCTTTGCTGCTGACGCTTTCGGTGGAGCTCCTATGGGGCCACGATCCTCGTAAGGGGTGTGCCGAAATGGCCCGAGGCCGCCATGCGCACTTTGCTACTGGCGCCTTCGGTGGAACTCTTATGGGGCCACGATCCTCGTGGGGGGTGTGCCGAACTGGCCCAAGGCCGCCATGCGCACTTTGCTACTGGCGCCTTCGGTGGAACTCTTATGCGGCCACGATCCTCGTGAGGGGTGTGCCGAACTTGCTCAATGCCGCCATGCGCACTTGCTACTGGCGCCTTCGGTGGAGCTCCTATGGGGCCACGATCCTCGTGAGGGGTGGGCCCGAGGCCGCCGTGCGCACGTTGCTACTGGCGCCTTCGGTGGAGCTCCTACGGGGCCACGATCCTCGTGAGGGTGATGCTGGTGATGATGATGATGTTGATGATGATGATGATGAGGAGGAGGAGGAGAAGGAGGAGGATGAGGATGATGATGTTGCGAGGAGGAGGGACTGGGCAGCGGGAAGAAATGGAACGCGGGGCGCTGTCTCTTCAAAACGAGGACCCAACACACAGGATGGCTGGGAAAAACGAGAGTCCCAAGCAGCGCTACCTCCCGCCACGCTGGAAACGCGTCAGGCCCAGAAGCCTCCGGAGGCGCCCAACGACACCCCAACAAATCATGTTCCCAGTAAGCCTTCCGGGAACATGATTCCTCAGGCTTCCGCCCCCGGCCCCAATTATGCACCCCAAAATGCTTACCGGGCAGCCCCCCAATGGGCCTTTAGACACGCCATCATGTTACCAGAAAGTTCTCCGATAACATGATTCCTCAGGCTTCCGCTCCCCGCACGCAACATCCGTTCCAAAGCGCCTGTCAAGCAGGACTCGAATGGGCCTTCAAGGACTTTCCTAGAAGCCCCACGAGATGGTGATGGCGATGATGATGATGATGATGACGAACGTGACGATTATGATGGTGATGGTGATCGTGATGGTTGTGATGATGCTGACGACGCTATCCACGACCATGCTGATGATGAGGAGGAGGATGACGGTGCGGAGGATAATGATGGTGTGGATGCTGTTGCTGCTGATGATGATGATGCTGATGACGAGGGTATTGTTGCTGATGATGATGCTTATGATGAGGCGGACGACGACGACGACGACGATGGTGATGATGATGATGATGATGATGATGATGATGATGATGATGATGATGGTGATGGTGATGGTGATGGTGATGGTGATGGTGATGGTGATGGTGATGGTGATGGTGATGGTGATGGTGATGGTGATGATGATGATGATGATGATGTGATGATGATGATGATGATGTGATGATGATGATGATGATGATGATGATGATGATGATGATGATGATGATGATGATGATGATGATGATGATGATGATGATGATGATGATGATGATGATGATGATGATGATGATGATGATGATGATGATGATGATGATGATGATGATGATGATGATGATGATGATGATGATGATGATGATGATGATGATGATGATGATGATGATGATGATGATGATGATGATGATGATGATGATGATGATGATGATGATGATGATGATGATGATGATGATGATGATGATGATGATGATGATGATGATGATGATGATGATGATGATGATGATGATGATGATGATGATGATGATGATGATGATGATGATGACGACGACGACGACGACGACGACGACGCCGATAGCGATTACGATGACGATGGCGAAGCTGAGGATGAGGATGAGCTCCCCATGAGTCGAGGTCCCAGGAAGTCACGTGCCAGCGATTGCACCGCGCCGCTCGGGACGGCTTCGAATCCAGAGTTGTATGGTACAGTCTAACATTATGCTTGGGCTTCGCAGTATCCGCCCGAACATCAACTATACGTCAACGGGAGGCACCTGCAATACCCCACGGGACAATTCGCTTAGATTCTGAAGCCGTGTCCAGAATCGACAAGGACCGAAACGCGCGCGAAGAGCGCTCGTGGTTCTAGGACACAGAGGGTGAACATGAACCGACATTTCGAGCCCTCGCCCAACAGAACACCCCAAGAAACCCCCAGGAGTCCCCAAGAGGCCCTCCACAGGCCCCCAGGAAGCCCCCCAGAGGCTTCCAAGAGGCCCCCAGGAGACTCCCAAGGGACCCCAAGAGGCAACCACGAAGTACCTAAGAGCCCCCCTAAAGCTCTCCAAGAGGCCTCCGAAAAACTTCCACCACCCATATCCGAACCGACATCCAGCAGGCCACTGGCCCATCAACCAGGCATGGCGGCCTCAGGTCCACAACCCCCGTTACCAAGACGCTCGGTCTTGGGGAGGGATGCTGAAGGCGAGGACCACGACGACGAAGACGACGACGATGATGGAGATGACGATGACGATGGTCATGATGACGACGACGATGATGACGATGATGACGATGATGACGATGATGCTGATGATGCTGATGATGATGATGACGACGATGACGATGATGATGGTGATGCAGGTGACGATAATGACGATGATGACGATTGCGATGATGACGACGGTGATGACGATGGTGGTGCTGATGGTGGTGGTGATGGTGATGGCGGTGATGGTGATGGTGATGGTGATGATGACGATGGCGATGACGATGAAGATGATGGTGATGAGGATGGCGATGGTGACAATTACGAGGATCCTAGCTAGAACGTGAGCGCGCGCGAAGCGCGCGCGATGGTTCTAGCTAATATGTATATATATATACACACTACATGTCCACACAAAAAGTTCAGAAACCCCCGAATCCGACACCTCGCAATCATTTGGATTACGTTTTCCACGATGGCCCAAGATGGCCTCCAAGATGGCACCCGAGGGCTCGAGATGGTTCACGATAGTTGCCAAGAGGCTCTCAACGGGCTCCAACACCGCTCCTAGACGGCTCCAAGGACGGACGAAGCTTTCCAGGGTGGCCCCCGAGAATCCTAAATCCTTGACACCCCAAAGGAAAACCCTCCGATGGGGCACTGAGGGCACAACTTGACGCCAAAATGACCCACGAGAGCCCCACGAAGAGCTCAAGAGAGCCCCAGGACGGCCCAAGAGACGGCCCCTGAGCGCCCCAAGACAGCCCAGACACGCCCCCGAGACAGCTTCCGAAGGCGTCAGACAGGGCAAGAGCGCCCTGAGACGGACCAGAAATCGCCGCAGAGGCCCGACGAGTTCCCGAGAAGCCCCCAGGAGGCCTCCAAGAGGCCCCCGGGAATCCTCAAAAGGCTTCCAATGGGCCCAACCTAGTGTTTTTATTGCGTTATTGATGTGTGTTCTCGTGCTCGAAGGCTCGGGCTACATTTGAAAGCATAAACGCACGATTATGCTTGTTCATAACATTCCTGCGTTGGGTGTTCGTTTTGACTAGAGCACTGCTGCTTTCTACCTGGGGGTTCTGCTGGGGGGCTGCGAACCTCCTCCCTCTCTCCTCCTGCCTCTTACCTCGTACCTCCTGCCTGTCTTCACCGTGCCCGCCTCCTACCCTGCCTCTTACCTCTTACCTATGGGGGTGGCGCCACTCGCTTGATCAGATCAGACCTCGCCATCCCTTGGGTTCCCGGGCGGCTGCGAAGCAGCCGCCGCTTTCAGGGAACCGGACCCCGGCCGCCCAGACTCGCTCTTTCGAAGCGCCCGGGGCCAGCGGGCGGGGCGCGCCGCAGGAGTTCCGGCGGCGGCCCGGCCAGGCCTGGGTGCCCTTGCCGGCGCCGGCGTGCCTCGCGCGGCGAGCGTGGGCGCTGTGGCGCGCGGCGGCGGCGGCCCGCGAGGCGGGCGTGCTGGTGGAGGAGGCGCCACCTCCCCACGCCCGTGGCGAGGGTTTTTTGCCTACCCTCTGGGCCATCGCGGGCGTTCTGCCCGCCCCTCTCCCCCCCCCGCCGCCCCCCCCTCCGTAACGTGATGCTCCCCCGCAGGTGCGTCCCCGGCACTGCCGCAGTGCGTCGGGGCGGGTGCGAGCGGTACAGTCGGGGCCCTGAAGAAGGAACCCTTTTGGTTGGGGAGGGGCTCCGCGTTCCTTAAGTGCTTCGCAGCTTGCCTCAGGTTTTCCTCATGTCTTCGATCGGACATCGAAGCTCAACTAGTGGAAAAAAGGGGCCTCGTTCCTTATTTAGGGTTCCTTATCGGGGGAGCGTAAGACCCGGGTTTGCCAGGACTCGGGTTCGCCATCGTTTTTTGACGACCGCGCCTCGGATTTTGACGAGGAGGAGTTTCGTGGGATGTCTGCAGCGGGAGGCCTCGTCAAAATGCAGGCTCGGCCTCGTCATTTTTTTGACGACCTCGTCGGGGATTTCCGAGTCCCCTGTACCCAGGTCTTACGTCCCCCTGACCTTAGGTCAACGCCCCGACTGTACGTTCAGCCCCCGCACCCCCGCTCCCCCGCCATTGCGCCCATGGTCGCCGCGGTTGAAGCAGTTGTCGAGGCGAGGGGCACATGCCGAGCCCTCTGCGTCCTCCTCCTCCCCCTCCTCCTCCTCCTCCTCCTCCCCCTCCCCCTCCTCCTCCTCCTCCTCCTCCTCCTCCTCCTCCCCTCCTCCCTCCTCCTCCTCCTCCTCCTCCTCCTCCTCCCCCCCCTCCCCCCCCTCCTCCCACACGAGGAACCGATGTACGGTGAGCGGCTTGAATAAGGAACACTTACTTTTCAAGAGGGGCTCGGTCGTTCCTTAGGCTTGCATGCGTTATTTGCGGTTCCTGATGCGTTATTTGTTGTGTATCGTTCCTTATGCGTTATTCCTTGGGATAAAAAAGGGGCTTCGTTCCTTAAGTATCGTTCCTTAGGTCAGGCCGATGACTGTACGGATGCTGCTGTCCGTCCCTCGTCGCCACGGCTGGATTCGCCTCAAAATGCTGGTCAGAACGCACCCCAGGAGAGGTCCGGGGAGTATCGCGGCGTTTCCCCTCGTCTGTCATCTCATCTCCCCGCTCGCGAGGGGCGGATGGGGAGGGGGGCAAATGGGAGGAGAGGGTCGAGAAAAGCAGAAACGGCAGAAGCGTACTTTGTCAGAGGCCCGCGCGGATTTATCGGGTCGGCGTTGGACCTGGCGGCGTCTCTTGCGCAGCCCCTGGCTCGCTCCGATCGCCAGGGCGGGGGTCCAACGCCGATTCAAGAAAAGCCCGCGGACCTCCGACAGATTATGCTTGTGCCGACTTCTGTCCTTCCGCCTCCTCCCCACCCCTCGCCCTCTCCCCTCGCTCGCGAGGCGTGGAAGGTGAGGGGGTGAGGCGGGTGGGACGGGGCGGGGAGGAGGAGCTGGAACGGGGATGGTGGGGGAGGGGCGCCGGCCGGGCCGGGGCACGGTCAGGGGAGGCGGCAGACTTGGCCACGACCGCCTGCAGGACGCTGGAGGCCTGCGGCTCGCGGCCATGCCAGGGCGCAGGCTCGCCGAGGACCGGGTCACGGCCGTGCCTGCCCCACTGGAGGCCCTCCCGTCCCCGCGGACCCCTCCCCCTCTTTCGACTCCGTCGTCCTCCCCTCCCCTCACCTCCCGACCCCATCTCCTCCTCCACCTCCTCCTCCATCCCTTTTCCTTGTATGAATAACTCCTCCCTGTCGCACCCCCAGAGGTGGGCCGGGCGTTTCGCCTGAGACTTCCTCACCATTTCCGATCCTCAGGCTTGAAATTCCCGGGTAGCTCTCTGAGATCTGAGGGGGGTTCAGATTAAGAAGCCGGAGCCGAAGGGTAGCCCTGGAGTTCGTTCCGGCTTCCGTGAACACACATCGGCGAAATCTGTTTGAGCTTGCAGCCGGTCCAGAAAGGCCCTAAGCGTTTCCCAATACGCGTGCCGGGAAGCTCTCCAGAAGGTCTTTCGGAAGCTCTCTTCAGGTCCTCCCATAGTTCTTCGACAGGTCTTTCCACGCTCTTCTGGCGCCCTGCTATCCGCCTGGCATCGCTCGGACGTGTGCAATTTTTCTTCGCCGAGGACCATCGAGCACCATCCTTGATCATTCGGCGAAAAACCCACGCACGAATCCCAAAAAAGCACAGGAAATGGGCGTCCGAGCGATGGCGAGATCCGGGTTTTGGACCACACGTTTCAAACAGTTTCAGGTATGGAGGTGCGTGTTTCTTATAAGAAAGAAACTCTCGCCTCAGCGCCGCGCGCACTCGTCCTCAAACAGATCAGCAGCTCCAGGAATGGGGGTGTCGCTTTCAAGATGTCGCTCTCGCCTTTGCGCCTTGCACATTGTTTCTTGATGGCTTGCACGCCGACCACTCTGGTGGCCGACGCCAGCTACGATATCAACTCCGACTCCACTTCGGCACGTGCTCCGGCTCCGACCCCTCCTCCGACTTCAGCGACAATTCCGGGGTCGACTACGCCTCTGATTCCTGGTCCGACTCCGACCCTGGCTCCAGAATTCAGTGCAACACCTTGGTGCGGGACGTTGTGCAGCTGGGTTTCTGGACATGCATCGGTGCTTCGGCGCCCGTGTCCAGGCGCCTTTCGGCCTCCACCCACCCTTAAGGCGGCTACCAGCACTCGTGTTGCATCTACTTGTATCTCTACCTGTCCTACTGCACGTGATCCCTCGCGTCGCTTTTGCTCTCCTCTGCTTCTTATCCTCTCCATCTTCCGCCTTTTTTCTGCATGGTACTGCTTCTATAGCCTGGCCGCAATGTGAGGCCTAAGCACGTCGGTGGTCGGTCGGACCCTGGGGTCAACACCTCGCATCGCGGAGTGGTTCTTCTCTGCGCTTGGCAGGGCGCGAATCTAGATGATACGTTGCCAGGACTGTTCGCATCAGAAGAATAATAACCTCCGCATCTTCCTCCTCCTGGTCCTCTTTCTTCTCTATTCCTTCCCTTTCCCTTCGCATGCCGCAGTGCGTTGTTGGTTTAGGGCCGAATTTCGTGACATGTTCGTTTTGCGCTGATGAGCCGAGGAGTAACGTAAAGCCGTTTTTTCCCGTGAGCTTATTGAAGGCAGTCTTTCTCTTTGGGCGCCGCCTTTGTGTGTAAGGGTGGAACGATTTGCGTTGGGTCTGATGTGCACGCCGCCGCCGCCAAGATCGCGGAGGAGGACGAGGACGAGCAGGGAGAAACACACACATACACACACACACACACACGCACACACACACACAGACACAATGAATCGTCGATCCCCCAGGAGATTTAGAAACATCTGGGAATTTTGGGGGGAAGACAGAAACCCCGAAAAGATGGGAAGTTTTGGGGAATCCTGCTATTCGTGTGTATCTATTTGTGTATCCCAGGGCTCCTTCAGAGGGCGAGGAGGACGAGGAGGCCACGGCTAGGCAGCTGCGGATATTCCCTCGGGCGCGACCCCGCCGAGGGCGCCGCGGCCCGCCTTGCCGGCGAGCTGGCCGGCTAGCGGGCGGGGCGCCTGGGCGCGTGGAAGGGTGAATGGGGCCCTGGGACACACAAATGAATACACACACAAATAAAGATAGTTCCCACACTTTCCCATACTTTCTGGGTTTCTGTCTTCCCCCCCCCACTTCCCATATTTTCCAATATTCTCCTGGGGGTCGACGATTCATTGTGTCTGTGTGTTTTGTTCCCTCCTGCAAGGGGGGCGTACATCGTGCTCGCGGTCGCCCTCCTTCTCGTCGCGCTGCGCCTGCGGAGCGATGGGGGTCGGTGCGTGTGGGTGCACAGACTGGCTCGATGTTCGAGGAAGAGTCAGAGCCCCGAATCATCAGGGTAACTCGGGTCAGGGTTAACTCGGGTTCGTTTTTCGGGAATCCGAACCCGAGTTACCCTGGGCCCGAGCTACCCCGGATAATTCGGGCGTCCAGAGCGCCACATCATCAAGGGTGACTCGGGTCAGGGCTAACTCGGGTTCCTTTTTCGGGAGTCCAAACCCGAGTTACCCCGGACCCGAGTTACCCCAGATAACTCGAGCGCCCAAAAGAGGCCGAGGGAAAGGAGCAGGGATGCATCGAGGACAAGGGTCTGAGCAGCACGGGGCAAGAGCCGCTCGCGAGACCTGCGGGGGAAAAAAGGCTTCGCGCGCACGGTACGCGACAGCCTTTCACTCTGGATTCCGAGAAAAACGGAAATCTGCACGAGCTGAACGGCATCTGGGATTCGGATACCAACCGTGAACCCCAGCGGTTGGAACGCATGGTGCTCTCTCCTGCGCGGCCGCCGGGCTCGACGTCGGGCAGCAGGCGACGAGCCTCGCATTGTCGCGCTTGGTACCTTGATCGCGCCACGGGCCCAAGAATCAATCGTGCAATGCGGCCATGGAAATCCGGGACAACGCTACGGGCCAGGCTGCGGGTCGCTACAAGTGTACCACATCATAGCCAGGTATCCATGGCGCTTGAGCGCCGACGTCGGATGCCAGGCTCTTGGACCAAGCCAAAGCTCCCAACTGGCAAGGCAAAGCGTCGCGCACGTCATAGCACAGCAGCACAGCACATCAGATTTCGCGCAGCGCGCATCGTGCCTATAATGTTCCGCGCGTCTCGCTCTACCGGCAAACGCTGGGGCGTGGCATTCAGGCCCCTACCGTAATATTTCCACTGTTATTGCCTGGGACGTCCACATTATTTTCAGTATGAACGCGCCGCTGGCTGTTGCAGCATAGTGCTACAAAGTATGTTTATTGCTATCGCGGCCGTTTGGCTACCTTCGGCAGAACGATTGCTAAAGAGTTGCAGGGCTGTTTGATGCCAGGTGTTCCTTTTGTGCATCCTCCTTATCCACGCCTTCGTTCTCCACGTCCTCCGCCCTTCACTGACATTCCTCCCTTCCACCCGTATTATTTTCCTCCGTCCTGGAATATTCCTTGGTGGCCAATCGACATCGTTGGATGGGCCGCCACGTAGAGCGAAAGGTGGCGGCAACACATTTGGAAGTTCGTTTTTACTGTTGGTTGGGAGCCGAACCAGAGCGAGAATCTGGTATAATGTTCGGTTGGGCATTTTGCATGGGGCGGTTGCTCAACATACCAATGTTCGAAGAACGGACAAACGGATTCCAGCTACTTGTTTGGCTCGCAGTTTCGGACTTTACGATACCTGCGATTCCGTCAACCATCAGTCGCTGGGGAGCGCAGCGCATTCCAAACCGCGCTAGTCGAGCACAAGATGAACGGGTTTCTTCTGTGGACAGAACCCCAGGTTTCCCTAGAGAGCGGGGCCCGCGGAAGTCGGCCTGTTCGTGCTCAGTTGTTTGCTCAAGGACCCCGTGCCAAGCGTAATGTTGGGGGCCGAGTTCGCTGGCCAGTTGAGGCAGCCTTGGGAGCAGCTCATGGCCAGCAGCGCGGTGGCCGCATCCAGAATGCAGTCGGGGCCCTGAAGAAGAAACCCTTTTCGTTGGGGAGGGGCTCCGTGTTCCTTGAGTGTTTCACAGCTTGCCTCAGGCTTTCCTTAGGTTTTCGATAGGAAATCGAAGTTCCTCGTTCCTTATGTAGGGTTCCTTAGGTCAACGCCCCGACTGTATACCCGATACCCTCAAGTTTTCGTTTGCTCCACATTGCCGTGATCCCATCGACATGCACAGCGTTGGTTCCTGGGCAGTGTCCGAACCACAACAAACATGTCATACGAACAGCAAAGGCAACGACAGAACATGCTGAGCAGTTGAAAGTCAAGTCGGTGGCAGTGTGTTCGCCTTGACGGGGATGCCAACGGAGTAGCACAGCAATCAACGGCGGCGATCACGAATCTGAGTCTTACACGTGGTTAGAAATTACAGTCAATATCCAGCTGTATGATTTGTTGCTTGTGGCGGATCCGCTTGCGGAGTTAAGGACAGCGTGTCGCGAGAGCAAACGAGAGTGCCTTGCCATGCCAGACCGATCGGTGACAGGCCGATGTGGATCCATCGCCCCGTGGCCGACCGGCACGCAGATTCAGCAGCATTCGAATCGATGGCGTGATGGCTTTCTTGCGTCGCATATGAATTGACGATCTACCCAGCAAGTAGGCACAATACAGTCGGGGCCCTGAAGAAGGAACCCTTTTGGTTGGGGAGGGGCTCCGCGTTCCTTAAGTGTTTCGCAGCTTGCCTCAGGCTTTCCTTATGTCTTCGATGGGAAATCGAAGTTCAACGTATGGAACAACGGGGCCTCGTTCCTTATGTAGGGTTCCTTAGGTCAACGCCCCGACTGTAGTCCCACCAAGGCTGCGATATGGCCTGTCTTTCGGAGGTGCATATAGTGCCAGGACGGCGCTACGCATCTGTAGACGCTGCAGCGCTTGCCGTCTGGCCAGCTGGGCCGAGCCCGTTCGTTGCGGTGACCCTCTGTCCGTGCGGTTTGTCTGTCCGTCCTTTCCTCCTCCCTTCCCCTTCTCACCTTCTCACTCCTCCATGCCCCTTCCCTCCTCCTCTTCCTCTTCCTCCTCCTCTTTTCCTCCTCCTCTTTTCCTCCTCCTCTTTTCCTCCTCCTCCTCCTCCTCCTCTTCCTCCTCCTCCTTTTATCTGTCCGTTCTTTCCTCCTCCTCTTTTCCTCCTCCCTTCCCCTCCCCTGCCCCTTCCCCCCACCCCCCTGGGCCAGGCTTGGCCAAATGGACGCAGGCCTGGCCCATACACAGTCCGCACTGACAGGCACAGCTGCAAGCAGGGCAGGCTCACACGAGAAGTCCACAACCACGGTCCCAGCAGCATGAGTTCGAGCAGTTGTCGCGCCCAGGCACGGATGGCTCGTGGTCCCGAAGGATTGCAAAAAAAACGAAGGATTTACAAAAACGAAGGATTGCAAAAAAACGAAGGATTTGCAAAAAAACCCAACGTTCGTTTGGACCCAACGGGGCAAACGCCACCGCGAGGAGGCCGCCAGCGGCGCCGCGGCGCTCACCGCCAGGGTTGCGGAGGCTGCGGCAGCCGCGGCGGCAGAGGCGGAGGGGCTGGCGGAGGCGCGCAGGGTGAGAGAGCCGGAGCTGGCAGCGTGGTAATAGTAGGAGGAGGAGGAGCAGGAGGAGGAGGAGGAGGAGGAGGAGGAGGAGAAGGAGTGAAAAGGAGGAGGAGGAGGAGGAGGATGGAGATGGGGACCGACGTAAGGCCTTCGCACTCCCCGCCTCGCCTCGGCTACACTACGCACTCATGTAGCGCAGGGCGTGGCCGTCTGTTCACATAATGCGCGTCGCGGGCAGCGTGGAGAGGGGATGGCGAAGGAAGCGCGGAGAGGCGCGCCGAACTCTTTGTGGGGGGCGATCCGCATGAGGGTGTACCGAATGAGGCCGAGGCGCCCCGCGCGAACGCGCCCACTGAGGCCGTAGGTGGAAGTCCTTGTGCGGCACGATCCGTGTGAGGGGTGCGCAGGAATTGGCGTTGGCCGGCATGAGATTGCTCGCACGTGCGCCCCTGACGGGGAATTGCGTGCGGGCGCGCCCAGTGAGGCCGCAAGTGGAACCCCCATCTGGGGAACGAGCCGTGAGTTGGGTGTGTCGAACATTGCGGGGACCGCATGCGGGCGCCACTGAGGCCGCATGTAGAGTTCCCAATGCCAATGAGGCACGATCCGTGTGAGAGGTGTTCCGAAAGCAGCAGCAGTAGAATGGGGAAGTAGGAAGTGGAGGAGGAGGAGGAGGAGGAGGAGGAGGAGGAGGAGCCGCGCGGAACAGGGAATTCAAAGTGAGGATCTAACTTCACGGGAGGGTTGGGAACAACTCTGCTTGCCAAGTCGGTCGCCCCCTCCTGTTTGTGCCCCTCCTCCGCCTCCTCCTCCTCCTCCTCTTCCCCAGCGGACTGGGTATGTTCAATGCTTCCTGCTGGCGACAGCGCGCCGCACCGCACTGAAACCAGATCCTGGGTACGGCGGACCCACTCGTGTGCCGAGCCGCCGAGGTGGCGGTGGAGGCGGTGGCGGCGCAGCGCGCCGAGGCCGAGGAGGCGGTGCGGGCACTCCGGGAGCGGCACGGCCTGCAGGTGCGGGGCGGCACCCCGCTGGCGCTGGTGGGGCCCGCCGGGGCGGCGCGCCTGGGCGCCGCCGTGCTCGAGGCTCGCCGCCCCGCTGCTGCTGCTGCGGGTGCCGCGACGGCGGTGCTGCGACGGCGGCGGCGCCGACGACGGCAGCGCCAAAGGCTGGGAGCAGCACGGGGAATAGCATGATGTGCTTTTGTGTCTTAGTGCCCCAGGTACGGGCTGATTGCTCGTCGTGTCACGCCTCCGCCTCACTCACTCCTTCCTTCCCGCTCTCCTCCCTCGCCTCGTGGACCCGCGGCACGAGGAAGAGCGGCCGGTGCCGGCTG